CAGTATGACTTCATCTTAACTTGGTGACTGCCACAAGAGCCTAATTTCCAGAGCTTCTGTGTTGGTGAACACGTGACAATGTGGGGAGGATGGGACGCCCAGTGAAAAAGAAAGCATGGAAGGACCACACCCAGTCCTGTATAACTTGCCCTATGTATCTCCTCCATCTAGCTGTTCCTGAGTTCTGTCTTTTTATAATAACCAGTAACTTCAGTGGCTTCACCATTATACATCCCCACCAACCACCTGTGAGGGATCCAGTTGCTCTGCATCCTCATTGCCATTTGGTATGATCAACATTGTTTTATTTTAGCTCTTCTGATAATTAGACAGTAGTATTAGGGGGATTTTAAACCATGTGGGGTGTGTTGCTGGGGGACATCTAAGGGAACTATTGTAATGCAGACAGTCTGAATTAAAAAACAGGCTTGTGCCAGGAGACTTCCATAAGGCTGCACACTCAGGAGAGGCTGTTTTGGTCACCAGTGGATTTAGGGGCACTCGGCAGGAGCCAGAGAGAAAAACAGATCTTTGGGGGAGTGAACAATCCCACTGGAGACATAGAAAGTGAGTCCTTCCTTAGCAAAGTCCTAGTTACTCTACTCAGGAATATCTCTAAGATTATCTAATAATAGTGGCAATAATAAGATACTGTTTTAGTGGGGAGTAGGCAAGGGGAGGAGGAGCCTATTTCCAGGTAATGTCACATTCACATGTACCACGTGTTAGGACTTGAACATATTTGGAAGAGGATGCACAATGCAACTCACTGAATGTGGCTGGTATGTAGAGTGATAAAACATTCGATTTTGAGGTCATGGTCAACTGGGTCCATGCACTGGCTCAGCCACTCATCAGCTTGGAAGGCAGCTCTGCTCATTTCTGTATCACCAATGCGACTGACCACTCACAAGCTTGACCAAATCTCCTAGCCTAATTGAACCACAGTACCCTTACCTGGGATGTGGTGTTCGTGTTTACTGCATCATGGGGCTGCTGGAAGGGTCACATAGGTAATATATATAGTACACATAGCAGTGCTTAGTGTGTAAGTGAAAGTGAAAGTCGCTCAGTCATGTCCAACTCTTTGCAACCCCATGGACTATACAGTCCATGGGATTCTCCAGGCCAGAATACTGGAGTGGGTAGCCTTTCCCTTCTCCAAGGGATCTTCCCAACCCAGGGATCGAACCCAGGTCTCCCACACTACAGGCGATTCTTTACCAACTGAGCCTCTAGGGAAGCCCAAGAATATTGAAATGGGTAGCCTATCCCTTCTCCAGTGGATCTTCCTGACCTAGGATTCGAACCGGGGTCTCCTGCATTGCAGGTGGATTCTTTACCAGCTGAGCTACCAGAAGTATCCACAAAAGATAGTAGTTCTCTCCACAAAAGGTATATTTAAACTATAACAGGTCATAGTCAGCAAGCAGATGCCCTGGGGGACCCCAGTCAAGAGGCAGAGCACATAGATGGGGAATCTGGTCTAGATCTTACTTGGGAATCAAAGCAGTCAGGTGCCAACAGGGACACCAGACATAGGTCCAAGCTGAGACTTGTGGGTTTCACTCTGAGGCGTGAGGCTAGGGTCTGACCAGCAGCCAAGGGGCCTGGAGACAAAGGGCAAAAGTGTGGAGTTGTAGCTAGTTAAGCTACAGCTTAACGTGGTAAAGCAAGTGGTGCCAATTGACCTCATGTAAGCTTGGAGGAGAGTAGGACAGCTTCTTTGTAAGTAGAAAGCTGCTTATGGTGATGGAGTCCTGGAAGTGCTATCCTGTCTGGTTCAGAAGTTTATAGAAAAAGCTATGGAATGTCTTCGGTGAGGCAGATGGGGCTAACAAACCAACCATAAGACCAATGAATATGTCAGATGAGTCAGAGGTTTGGTTTGTTCAAGGACATGATTACTGAGAGCAAAGTTTTTGGACCCTCTGTGAGCCTCAGTTTCCCTCCATAAATAGTACAGGTTGGAATAGATGTGCTGAAGGTCTCTTGTCCAGCTTTGACAGCCTATGATTTTATGAATCATCCTCAAAGAAAACTTGCACAAGTAGGAAGAGCCTGCCAAGATTGGGCCTTTCATTCTGAGTAATGAGCTGAAACAGCAAAGGCTTGACATCTGTTCGGCTCTTTCAAGGGAAGTTGGACAAAATAATGCCTTTTTCAAAGAAATCGTAACCAGCGGTGAAATGTAGTATTTCCTGCCTAAACCAAAGTGGAGAACTCCAGCCTTGCTGAAGCCCAAGGGAGAACACACATCAGAACTTCTCATAAAGGAAGTCGGGTTGACCAGCTGTCTTGCTGCTGTAGGCACAGAATGCCTAGACACCCTTTGCCTTCTAACACCATTAAAACCAGAGAGCAGAAAGGCTGGTGGGGAACTTCTGAGACCATCTGGGGAAAGAAAGAGGGCCACAGGCCCTATGGTTGGCTTTCTGGCTAGCCCAGGAATACTCCTAGTTGGGAAAAGCTTTGACCACAAACACCTTGATCCTCCAGTTACTAACACTCTCATCCAACCTGCCATCAAAAGCCAAAGGAAGATTTGCCACCGCTGACTCTGAGGTTCTTCCCAAGAATCCACTCCAAGCCCCAGAAGTCATTCCCAGAGACCAGTTCCAAATGCATTCTGAGCAGTGATGATGACTTTGGAGTCAGAACAGAGCCTCCCAAAGTGATGTGCTTTGAAAGGACAGGGCTAGGGGAAGCCAAGTTCTAGACTCATGACATGTCAACATTATAGGAATCCTAGAACTTCAGGACTCAAAGGGACCCTCCAGAATGTCCCACTGCAGTTCCCACTCCACTTGGAATCTTATCCACAGCCTCCAATACGGATTCCCTTGCCTGGAAACTGCATAAGAGCAGAGCTGCGTCTCTTGCTCACCTCTGTACCCCCGACTGTTGCACAGTAGATCTTGACCAAATACACACCAGTCACTGGGCACCTTCCCTGACAGTTCTCTCTCCTTTTATTGCTTTCCTTTGTACACACCCCGAGATGAGAGTGCTCCAAGGACCCGAGGTAGCAGCAGCTGCCCATTTCTTCTCCCTTGCCTTCAAAGCTAGGCAAGTTCCAACACACACATTTAGAAATTTACCAAAGAAAGATCCCAGTATGAAACAGCCTTTCTAATAGGCTCCCCTTCCTTGATGTTCCCAAGTAGTCCTAAGATTCACTAAAGCCTTGGGCTCCTAGTGTCAATAATCAGCCACAGGGGCTGGTTGTTAGAAGGAGAAACATTGGGGTGAGCAACATCAGGGTTATGTGTTTGCCACTGTCCCCCAGCCTGGGGCACCAGCAGAGTCATTTTGGAGCTGGGGTTCTACCTATATCAATCCCCCTTACCTTGAAGTCTCATTTCAACTTGGTTGCTGGTTTCTATTCTAGGATTGGTGAAGTCAGAGGTGTGTTAACAGCTACCACTTAGAAAAGAATTTGGTTAATGTCCATTTTCCCTACTAGACTGTAAGCCCCATAAAGGCAGAAACCATGTCTGTTTGGCTCAGCTGTGTATCCCTAGTGCCTAGTGGATCTCACAAAATAATTAATTAATTGTTTAATTAATTAATCCACTAATTAAGCTGGGCCAAGTCAGCAGATGGCTGCCTAGGGATTGTTGTTTGGAAGGGGGTTCTCAGAGGCAGCTGCTGCCACCCTTAGCAAAAGGGTCTTTAGTGCTGGTCTTTAGGACTCAGCCTCCCATTCTGTTCTGCCCCATCTGAGGAAGGGCAGTGATTATTTTGTTCACATTCTGGTAAATATCCACAGGAGCCCAAGGGAGAGCCTTTCAGAGGGAAATATTATTAATTAACAAACACTGCATAGGCTGAGATGGGGTTTGGGAGTAGAAAAACAGAGCAGTGAACCAGCCACAGTCCCAACTATGCTTAGGAACTTACAGGTAAGTAGGCAGATGTGGCAAAAGGACACATACTTGCACATACTGCCATTTCAACTGAGCAGGTTAGGACCTTACCACAGGACAGAGGGAGCTTCATGGGCGTTTAGAATTGGAGGCTATCAGGGAGGGCTTCTTGGAAGAGGTAGCATGTGCAAAGGGACATTTAAGGCGGTGAAAGTTAGCAGGGAGAGGTGTTCTCAACAGGGCACAGCGTGTGTAAAACATGGAGGTCAAGAAGGGAATGTGGTAAACAAGAAGCAGGTAAGTGGGACCTTGCGCTGGAGGAGATCACTGGGGCAAGCCTGCAAAGGTGGGAAGGAGAGACTGCAGATTTCTAATCAGAGAAGGCTCAGACTAGAGATATGACACTTTAATTACTCCCCTCGTTAAAATTGTGATGAGGCGAGCTTCATCGGCATGTGAACATCCCTAGCTTTCTCCAACCCCTTCCCTGCCTCTCCTGCTCTGTTCTGTTCCCTCCCCTCTGCTACAAAAGAGGGCTCAAAGTTTGTCTGTTTCATTTCTCCCCCTGCCCTTTCCTGCCAAAGAGAGTATTATTTTTACCCAACAGGTTTTTGGGGCTTTGAGGATATATAGAATATCCAAAATGAGGTAAAGCATGCGAAAAGTAGATAGGAAGGGAAAATGGATATGAGCAAGGGGTGCTGTGGATTCTGTGTCCTCTTCATGACATTTGAAAGTCACAAAGAAAGAACACAAGCTATTTTTAAGTGTTTGTAGATTGCTGAACTATATTTGACAAGGCACCATTTTGAGAATGGACCACATGGGTTACAGCTGTGATAGTGTTCCATTCTCCACATGTTGATACCACTGTCCTCTTCCTCAAGGCCATCAGCTCTTGGATAACAGGGGCTTAAGTCTAATTCGCCGTTGTCTCCCAGCACCCTGGGCATTGCCTGGCCCAGAAGAAGAGTTAGTAAATAGTGAAACTGAAGAGTGTTAAAGTGTTCCGGGGTTCAGGCAACAAACTCCACTTCACTCCCTCATCTCTCCTCCTTTCAAGAAGGGATGTTCTGGCCCCTGCTAGTCTTGGGCTTTGCTCATAGTCTGTCTGTGTCTCTCTCACTGCAGAAGGCAGATCTGGCCGTGGCCCCCCTGACCATCACCCACGTCCGTGAGAAGGCCATCGATTTCTCCAAGCCCTTCATGACCCTCGGCGTGAGCATCCTCTATCGCAAGCCCAATGGCACCAACCCTAGTGTCTTCTCCTTCCTCAACCCCCTGTCCCCAGACATCTGGATGTATGTGCTCCTTGCCTACCTGGGTGTCAGCTGTGTCCTCTTTGTCATCGCCAGGTAAGGGCAATGCCCTGGCCAGAACTCTGGCCCAGGTTTAGGGGCTCAGGGAGCCAGGCAAGTCCCCCCATCCTCAGCAGCTGGCACAGAAGGCCCAGGTTCAGACCACTGCTTACCTGCTCCTGTCTCTTTCCCTGAGGCTCAGATCCTTTCATATCCCCCAGGGAACATTTCATGGCCCTCTGACTTGAATCCCCCAGTCCCCACCCTGGTCTGTGTCCATGACTTTAAGAGGTGTCAGTTGTATCCCAGGTCCTGTGAGCAGGCTTGGCGAGGTTCAGTCACTCCCCAAAGCTGGGCACTTGGACCAGGCACCCAGCACAGCAGACCCAGGTGGCCCAGCAGGCAGCTTAAAACTTAGAAAACAGACGAAGCCCATCCACCCCACAACAGCAGGAGGGACAATGCCACATAAACTCGCTCACATGCACACATGCAGAAACTTGCCTTGCACACATCCTTACCTGCCTCTAACACATGCTAGCAATACCCTTGCATATTCAGTTGTTCACATGAAGTAGGCACAGCACATCCTTACTGGTGGGTCATAGGTAGAGGCCACTGGGAAACGGATATAGCCCAGTGCTTACTGAGCACCTACTGGGTGCCAAGCACAATGCTCTGTCCTTTATAGCCAGTTATCTTATTTAATTCTCATGGCCTCCCATGAAGGGGAGACATCCGACACTCAGAAAGACTCAGTACTCCTTGAGGCCACCCTAGCAATAAAGGACACGTCCGGCTTGTTGAACTCAGGTCACCAAGTGTTTTATCTGCAACCCCCATCTCTGCCCCCGGGACACCTGTGCTCTGCTCCCACCCCAAGTTGGTAGCTCCTGGGCCCTGGCCCTCTGCCCCCTCCCTCCAGGCTCCAGCCCCAGCCTTTGCCCTGGTTCTTTTTTCTCTAAATTCTAACAAGGTGTGATGCAAGACTTCTCCAGAGAAGCAATCTGAGATCCAAGGACTTCATGTGTCGGCCTTTTTCTCTGCTGAGTCTTCTTTGAAAGCTTTCTCCCCACCCTGCTCCTTTTCACTCCCTCCTCCCACACAGACACAGACCAAAGGGAAGGATGTGAGAGAGGAAATTGTCCTGCCTCCGAAGCCCTTTGCTGCCGGCAGGCCTGGTGCTGCCTGCCTGCTCGCCCAGCCGGCAGCCCAGCCTGCCACAGAGAGACCTTCATTATGCCTCTTGTCTCTAATGGTCTAACAAGCCTTTGAAAGCCAGGAGCCATTCTCCAGAGCTCTCACCATAATTTTAGCAGCGCCAGCCAGCCCCTTGGCTCCCCACCCCCTCGAAAACGGCTCAAGCTTTCCCAGCATCAGCTTTGCTCATTTGATGTGCATCCCATCCCCCCCCACTTCCTGGCCTTTCATCCACTGCAGCCGAGCCTGCTTTCCACCCCTTACCTTCTGGCCAGGCAGGTAGGAGCCCCCCCACTGCCAAGGTCAGGATGAGACTTTCTGGAAGAGAGGGGATTTCTGGAGCTGCTGGAATGACACAGAATGCCTGGAGAGAGAGGAGACAAGGGTCTTGGTCACAGAACCATGAATAGCATCACAGGATGATCATCAGTTTACCACTCACACAACACAATTCACTTCCATCCTGTCAAATCCTTACAGCAGTCCTGGTGAGGTCAGTATAATTATCCCCGCTCTACAGAATCAGAAGCTGAGGCTCAGGGGGGTTCAGTCTTCGCCCAAAGCCAGAAAGCCTTATGTCGCAGAGTTGGGCTTCAAACCAAGACTTGCCGGACTTTAAATCAGGAGTGGCACACACAGGAAGCGTGAGGGAGTGAGCATGCTGGGTGGTAGGCAGCAGGGAGTGGTGGGGACTGAGGCAAACTTGAGCACACACCTGGAGAAAAGGGTCATTACCGCTCAGCTCCAACAGACTGTGCCAAGCAGGAATGCAGGCCAGTGCTGTGGGGGTTCATGATTTTAGAGAGAGTTTCAGATTTTCATGTGATGCCTCATGGCTTTTATAAGTAGCCACTAATTTGATTTTTTGGAATGCCTTTGAGGTCAAGCACAGCCCACCTGTAGTGTGGAAGTGGCTGTCTGTCCCCTCCCCTATGTGTGCCCTGTGTCGTTTGGACCCCTGCTTGCTGGCTACCAGAGAGCTAGACACAACTGCCCGAGAGATAGGGTCTGCGAAGTGTGAGTAGGTGTCTAGATTCTCTCTGGGAAACTCCAGCAAGACGCAGGACTGCCCATCCTACAAACTGGCTGGCCTATGCCTGGCTAGCATCAGGGGTCTAGGCATTGACCAAGGCCTTTCTCTGCCACCCGAGTATTTGCTTCATGCTCTGCAAGAAGCAAAGGGAGGGAAGGACGGGGGAGGGATGATGCTTCTCATCACAGATACCAGGCCAGTAGGCACTCATGACAAGGAGATAATCCTAAGTGCTTGACCCCGGAAGCAGGACTGAATGTGAGCCACCAGTCCAGCCCCCCAGGAGTCACGCTCCACCCAAATCCAGTACAGATGAGAACCTCGGGGAAGAGGCGATCCCAGCCACAGTCGGTGCTCTGTCTACACCTGTCATCTGGGGCTGGAGTTCAGCCTTCACCCTTCAGAGGAGACAGGGTATCTCTAAGTCAGTCTCTCCCACTGACTTGCAAAACTTGGAGAACCCCTTGTAGCCACCAGCCATACATCCAAGATCCATCATTCACTTCGGTGGCACCTTCCTCACTGTCCAGCAGCCATTCCACCCCTCTGCCCTCCTGGGGCACTGGAGCTGGAGTCTGGGTCCTTCCACCCCCTGACTGCAGGAGCACCGCAGCTGGAGGGCCCAGGCTGCCTCCCCACCTGTGAAGTGGGCGTCTGCTGCACTGTCCGCCCCTCACGGGGTAGTAAGGACCCAGGTCTACAGCAAGACTTATAACCCAGAGACCCGTTCTAGACCAGTTATTTTTATCGTGGTAAGAGATTCCACCTCTGGGAATGTATCCTGTTGAAAGTCACCCCTGAGCCTCACTTCACACGCATGTGCGTGCTTGGTCGCTTCAGTCATGTCTGACTCTGTGTGAGCTACCCGTGGACTGTAGCCTATCAGGCTCCTCTGTCCGTGAGATTCTCCAGGCAAGAATACTGGAGTGGGTTGCCATGCCCTCCTCCAGGGGGTCTTCTCTACCCAGGGATCAAACCCACGTCTCCTGCGGCTCCTGCAGTACAGGCGGATTCTTTACTGCTGAACCACCAGGGAAGCCCTGCCTCACTTTACAGTCCTCCATGAATCTGGAAAGCCTTCTCAGCAAAGCCCTCTACAAGGCTGCCCTTTGGCCTGGGGACTCATGGAAGTGTGAGCAAGGGTGTTTCTTTCAGCAGCGTGTATCACAGTGGAAAAAAGGGCCAGGCTGTGTCAACAAAAGCAGAGTGGTTAAGAATACCCATTAACTAAAAATTTATACAAATGAACTTATTCACAAAATAGAAGGAGATTCACAGGCATAGAAAACAAACTATGGCTACCAAAGAGGATGGTGGGAGATGGGGGGGAGGGTAAAAATTAGGAGTTTGGGATTAATAAATACACACTACTGCACAGAAAATAGGTAAATGACAGGAACCTACTGTATAGCAAATACTATACTATAATACATGCTATGCTCAATATCTTATAATAACCTATAATGGAAAAGAATCTGAAAAAGAATATATATATATAGAACTAAAGCTCTGTGCTGGGTACCTGAAACTAGCACAACATTGTAAATCAACTATACTTCAGTATTAAAAATATATTTTTTTAAAACCCTATTAAGTAGTTATGGAGAATAAAGGACATTAGGAGTAACTGGTCTGGAAAGAGGCTGGTGGCTTATTAAGTGAAAAATCAAGACCTAAGACATTATTATGGTATGATGTGATTTTTTTCTATGTAAAAGGATGATTATGTGTATCATATCTATCTATCTATATACATATATATTGTGTGTATGTACATTGAAAAAGCAGGGCTCTTGAGATCTCATCAGATATCACCTTTGCTTTGTCGCTCACCCACTTTTCACCCACCTGCCAGGAGAAGGAACTGGCAACCCCCTCCAGTATTCTTGCCTGGAGAATCCCATGGACAGAGGAGCCTGGTGGGCTAGAGTCCACGGACGGGGTCGCAGAGTCAGACATGACTGAGTGACTAACACACACACCTTTCAGTGCGTACAGAGGTGAAGTTCTTCGCCCCAGTGAAAGCTCTGCTGGGACCTGTCACTTTTTGGATCACTTCCAGAGCTCAGAAACCCTAGGTCTCTCTCCCTGTAGCGCAAACACACTTTCAACTCAGGAGTTAGAAGGCTGGGTCGGGTATAGTCCGCCACAGTTCTATCCTCATGCACAGTTCAGGCTTCTCCCCTTGCCCCCTCGAGAGTCCTCTGTGGCACTTCTTCCCCCGTCGGCCCACTCCCCTGCTCAGTCCCTGGTCCTTCAGTGGCCCCCGCCCTGTGGCTTCTCTCTGTTGGAGTCTCATTGCCTTTCTTGATACGAGTCGCGATGAGCCCATCTGGTCCAGGAAAACAACCTCAGCCCTGACCACATCAGCCCTGCAGGCCAGTCCTGCGGAGCAAGGACTTACTGTCTATCTCTCGTAGAAAACATGCCTCAGCCCAACCCCTGCCCTCCAGATTGCCCAGCGAGCATCCACCACATCCTTGTAGAGCTCTCCCAGCCCCCCTGTGGAAGCCACTCTCCCCAGACCTCACCGTGGGAATGCGGGGGCCCCTGAGTGCAGAGCTCTCCAAAGGCTTTCTCTAAAACCCTTCTCACAACAGCCTCTCATCTCTGCTCTCTTCATCCTCTATCGCTTCCTTGTGGATTTTTAGAGCCTCTAACCAGATCATGGTCATTCCCTTTGAAAATCCCCATCTTGATTTGAAGCCTCACTTTGGAATTTCCTATTTGCAGGATCTTTCCACTTCGTGAAAACCAAATTCTTTTCATGTGAGCATTGGTGATCAATGTTTCATTTACTAAAGCTTTTAGAAGAGAGATGGGAAGTCATAGCCTCACCCTTAAAACTCATCACACTTTAAAAAACAAAAGAAAATTCCGTCAGACATGTCTCTCCTTCCCGGTCTCTCATCTCAGCATCTGACCCTACACTAGCCACTCTGGACACACCGACAAAGCCACTTCAGCCACATCAACCACACCAGTCACACCGACCACACTAGACTGGTGGGGACCTTCTCCAGAGTCTCTCGATCTCTCCGGAGTGTCCCAGCTCCCTCCAACTTACATTTTCTCAACTGGAATTCACACAATAAACAAAGATCCCTGCAGTTATCAGGACTTCTCGTCCTTAGAAGGCAATGGGGGCAGGGGGGCTTAAATAACATTTTTTTTCTGTTATGCATGTATTTGTATATTCAGAGAGAAAAATCTGAAAAAACGGTGTAACACAGTGTTCTTCCCAAGAAGTGGGATCATGGCGTGCTTTCACTTTCTCTCATTGTGTTTTATACTGTCTGAATATTTTATGAAGAGTATATTTTACTATTTTTCCATTTCAAGGTTTTTAAAGTATACAAGTAATTTAAAAGCCTATTCTCATTTTTCAAAGTTCATGCAATACATACAAAGCAACAGGCTTCCATGAAATTTCTTCTGCCTTTCTAACACCCCTCCCCAGAGATCTATAGTGATTTTTTTTTTTTAGATATGGATCCTTCCAGACTGTATATGCATTTATATTCAAATGTACATAAATAGGTATGCAACTATGTCTTCAGGAATCTATTTATGTAAATGTGATCATATTGTTCTTATTTTTATCACTTAAAAAAAAAAAATATGTGTGGAAGATCTTTCCCTGTTGGTACATCTCTTCTAACAGCTGCGTGAGGTTTCAGAGTACAATTGTGGCATAGTTTATTTAATCATTCCTCTATTGAAGGACATTTAGGTTGTTTCCAGTTTTTTGCTATTACAAACAATGCTTTGATAAACACCCCCGTGCACTTCTCTTTATGCTCCTGTAAGAGTGTTTTTTCTACGATGGATAATGAGTCGCAGAATTGCTAGGTTGAAGGGCATGTGCACTTTTAATTTTAAGAGATACTGCTGAATTACTTTTATCACCAGAAAAGGGCACTAACAATAAAAAACGAGAAGCAAAATGACTCTGGTTTCCCATTCCCTGCCTCCCTAGCAGAACAACCAGGGAATTGATGCTAAAGTGGTCGGCACATCACTATTTGCTAAACCGCCAGCTTATAAGGCATGAACACCCCTTCCTCCCATCTCCCTGAAGATTTGCCTCATTGCTCCCCTCTTCCTGCTGCAGGTTCAGCCCTTACGAGTGGTATGACGCTCACCCCTGCAACCCCGGCTCTGAGGTGGTGGAAAATAACTTCACTCTGCTGAACAGCTTCTGGTTCGGAATGGGGTCCTTGATGCAACAAGGTACATGTGCCCTTAGAAGGTTGGAGACACCTGGATGCTCAAGTGTGTGTCCTTTCCCAGGTCCCTGAGCTCCACCCCTGCTGGAGCTAGCTGGACAGGCTCACCGTCTGAGGCCGAAGCATATACCAATACCTGCGGAGGGCAGGGCTCATCCCCAGCCCCTCCTGCTCCAGCTGGGATAGACATACAGCATCCTGTCTCCTGCAGTCTACCCCCTGATTCTCACCAATGCATAATCTGCCTGAGCAAAGTTGGGCTGTGGATGGAGGGAGACTGGAAGCAGGGAGGCTGGGTGGAAGGCCACTGCAGAAATGAGATGGTGAGACCTGAGCCAGGGTAGTAGCCACGAGAGTGGAGGCCAGAGATGGACTTTGAGAACTTCAGGATGTAGCACAGACTGGACTTGGTGACTGCCTGGCTCTGGGGAGCCCAGTAGAAGGAGGGGGGCACATCTGTGTTGGGGCCGTTAGCCTGAGTGCATCAGACCTGGTATACCCAGAAGGATGCCATTTTTCTCACATCCTCCTGAGGGAAGTCTGGGATACGGTACCTGCCCCCCACTAGTAGCTCAACTTCTGGAAAGATTTGCAGCTGCTCAGATATCTCAGAAAGCAGAGCACCTGCAAGGAGCAGAGTGTGGAGACACTGGAGGCTGGAGGGTGAGCAGAGAGGGAGGGGACCCCAACCAGGAAAGACCCCCAGAAGAACCCCACCCCCACAGTCCCTGCTGACCAGGAGCCAAATGCTCACTGCCTCTGTCTACCGAGTCACTTTCAGAGCCTCTTATCTCAGGCAATGGGGAGGGAGGCAAGGACCAAAGTCTCTGCCTGGGTTAGGGTCCCACAAAGGGACGAAAAGGGGGCCAGGGAGGGAAGGAGATCCAAGGGGCAAAGAATGTCCCTGTCCATCTCTCATGTGTGTATCCTCACGGCCTGGCACAAACCCTGGTCCTCAGTAATATCTACCAGCAGGCGCCAAACAAATGCATGACCGATGTTATCGCAGTGTGTCCTGAGCGCCCACGGCCTGCCAGGCCCTGTGGGTGAAGGACCCTGGACCCGAGCAAACTCTCAGCCACGCCGGAGGCCGGGGATGGGGTCCAACAGAGCCTGACAACTAAAATAAGTCATTCTCCCTTTGGGGGCAACTCCAGCCCCTTGTCTGGGGGAGGGCCAGGCAGATGAGGCTGGGGCGGGGAATGGGGGAGTGGTCTCCGGCGGCTGGGATGTGACAGGCAGCTTGAGGGGGAAGCGCCTCATTCTGTCCCCACGACTCATGAGCATCCTGAAGCCTCACCTTGCTGCTCTGTCCATCATCTGTACTCGGTGACAGTTAGGAAAGAAACTGAAGGCCCCTCCACGCAGTAATAGCTTCTCTTCCGCCTCCTGCTGCTGTTCAAAGCATTGGCCCCTGATGTATTCCCCACGAGGTTTTGATTAGGAGGGAGAAAAATGGTTATGTATTTGAAAAACTCTCCCTTGAGTGATTTCTTTGAGAAAAAAAAATCAGCCATATCAAAGCAGATGCTTTTCAGATGCAGGTCCAAATATTCTGGAAAGTTCAGGAGTCACTTGCTTATTTAAATCTCTTGAAAGCCTCCTAGTTAATTACTTCAGTTAGAAGGTTTCAGCTAAACTATGCTCCGCTCCCAAGGTCGGGAAGGAAGAGTGATCGGCACTCTTTCTATTTCAGCAAAGAGCTTCAAAAAATGTTGATTTTTTTTCCTCTTGCAAAGCATCATATAGCAATCTTATATTTGTATACCACTTGCATTTCCAATATACTTTCCTCCTCAAATTATGTCATTGCAGCAGCATCATGGTATTTTTGTAAGGCTGGGACAGAGGAAGGATGATGCTTTGCTGAGTCCCAAAGAGGGAAAATGACAGGCACAAGACCACACAAAGAGCTAAGAGCAGGATTCTCTCAAGAACCCAGGGGTTTTTGAACCTGGGACACATTCAGGTGTTCAGAATCTGGGACCACACAGGTGGTTCACAGATACACATCAGAGGGTCTGACATGCCTGTGAAATAAATATTCTGTTTGTGTGTGTTTTTGTCAAGCAGTGGTTCTTAAATTTTAGCCCAGATCAGGATCACCTAGAGGGCTTACTGAACCTAGACTGTTGGGCCCCATCCCTAAAGTTACTGATTCAGTAGGTCCTGGGTGGGGCCTGAGAATGTGCATTTCTAACAAGTTCCCAGGTGATGCTATTGGTCCAGGAACTACACTTCGAGAACCACTGGTCTAAGGAAGAGGTCTCAGCTGTTACTAGATTATCAGTGGAGTCTGTTACCCAGAGGACCAAGCAGCCCTGGTCTGAGCATTGTCAGAGACCATGTGTCTCCTCCTTCTTCCCAGGGTCTGAACTGATGCCCAAAGCCCTGTCCACGCGCATCATTGGTGGCATCTGGTGGTTCTTCACGCTGATCATCATCTCCTCCTACACGGCCAACCTGGCTGCCTTTCTGACCGTGGAGCGCATGGAATCACCCATAGACTCGGCAGATGACCTGGCCAAGCAAACCAAAATCGAGTATGGGGCAGTCAAAGACGGGGCCACCATGACCTTCTTCAAGGTGAGACCCTCTCCCTCCCTTCACTGTCCTTCCTTAATCACGTGGAGCCAGAAATCCCAAGGGCTCAGCCCCTGCCTGTTTAGGAACAATTGACTTTGGGGAGCTGTAGCGATATGGCCAACTGGATGGGTCCCAGCGCAGATCCTAGAAGTTTCCGTACCTGGGACAAGCAGCATGAATATGCTGTGTTTCCTTAAATCATCAGAGGAGGACATCAAAGGAAGCTGGAGAAGGGGGAGGGAGAAGCATGGCCCAGAAAACACATAAACAAGCCCTGGGGCCAGTAGGCTCCCTGCCCTGGCTTTGCATCTCAGGGGCTTTCATCTCCAAGAGGCTGACCTAAGCTTGGGGTGAGCTGGGCGACACCAAGGGGGCAGCAGGGGTTGCATCCTCCAAGGAAGGCTTAAAACTTGAGCAAGCATTTACAAATGTTTGCTAGCATGTTACACTCGTGGAATGCTGGTGTCACCTGCTCAGGTTCCTGCCTTCATGGGGATCTGTCCATGACTTTGTTGCGTCCTCCTGTTTTATAAAGCACTGGCTCACTTCCTTAATGTTTTTTCACCTTCTACTAGAGTAGCTGAGGGTTTAGGAAACTGGCTGACCCTGACTACCAGTAGCTATAAATGTTCTCCAGGAAATTAAAGTAATAATAACTATAGTTGGCACCACTAAGAGTTCACAGTGGGCCAGACACTGTGCTGGGCTTCATTTAATCTTCATGACAAATCCCGAGAAGTAGGTATTGCAACTATTTCACACGTGTGGAAACTAAGGCTTAGAGCCATTGCGTGAGTTGTCCCAAGGACTCAAAGCTGAAGCAGCCTGGGTCTGGCCCAGGTCTGCCTTCCTCCAGAGCCCATGTTCTAAGCCGTGGTTCTCAGATTCAGTCTGTCCAGATCACCTGCAAGGCTCCGAGAACCCCAGGTTGCCGGGTCCCAGCCTCTGCAGTTACTGACTCAGCAGATCCTGGGGGCAGGGCCTGGCAATGTCCATTTCTAATGAGTTCCCAGGTGATGCTGATGCTGCTGGCCCGAGGACCACACTTTGAGAATCACTACTCTGATGATCTCTCAGATATGGTCAGGATTGGGATCTCTGTGGCTCTGAGTCCATTCATTCATGTATTTATTTAGTAGTCAATTGCTCTCAGTCAGTCTGAAAGCCTGGGATGTTTTCCTTTCCACTGGGCCCTGGTTCCCCATCCCCTAGCCCCTGCCTCCTTCCAGGCTAAGCCTCTGAGTGATGGATTGAGCCTCCAGTGGGGCCTGAGTGAGTAAAGAAGGAAGGGGTTGGGTGGAAAGCCTTCTACCTCCTGGACATGGCTATTCTCCTCCCCCTCCCCTGCCCCCCATTCCCCTCCCCTACGTGCTACCCTGACCTTGCCTGTTATGGGCTCTCCCTGCTGGCTGAGGTGGTAAAGAATCTGCCTGCAATACAGGAGAGCCTGTTTCAAGCCCTGGGTTGGGAAGATCCCCTTGAGAAGGGAATGGCAACCAACTCGAGTATTCTTGCCTGGTGAATTCCATGGACAGAGGAGCCTGGCAGCCTACAGTCCACGGGGCCCCCTTCTTAAAAGTAGAAGCAGTTCCCCTGCTTAGTGAAGAGGAGCGAGAGGAAACAGACTCCCCTCTGGAATGCTGCTACTAGCAAACGCAGTCTTCCTTTGAGGTCACCCCCATGTATTTATTTATAGTGTAGGGGAGACAAAGCATTGTCATAAGCACACTAGGGGCTCTCTGAAACCCTGTGTATGTATTCATGGGGGTGAGCAAGTATGTGAGCATGTGACTGCATGCACGGTTCATGTAGCAGTGTATAATGTGTATATGTATGTGCACATGTGTACCTACGCACGAGTCAGCCTGTCTGGGTGCTCGTGTGTCTTTCTGCTTGATCACAAGTGTCTGCATATGTGCAGTGGTGAGCACGTGTGTGCCTGTGTCCCTGTGATCTGGGCATGTGGACATGTGACTATGACTGTATGAAGTATGAGCTCGAGTGTCTATGTATACGTATGTGGAGAGTGCACACATGTCTGTCTGCTTAAATGTCCCCATGGGTGTGCTTACATAAGTGTGAGTGGGGGGATGGGCCCATGTGTGGGTGTGTGTGTGCACACATGCATGCACATGCCTGCTCCTGCCAATCCCCAGGCTGCGGCCCAGCCCTTTGACTATGCCAGAGCATCCCTCATGCATTACACATGAGCCCGTCTCTAAGCAGGGCTCCCGATCAAAGGGAAGCAGCATAAATAAGCCCAGTGCTGGCTCATTGGTGCTGATTGGATGCCCTTGCCTCCCTCCATGCTAAGATGCTCAGATTGGCTTCTAAGAGCCCGGTCCCCGCTCCCCACCAAGCTGCTGTCCTCGGCATCAAGCAGCACCTCCTGCAGCCCACACCACCCTCACCCACCTTCCCTGCAAACGGTGCAGCGAGGAGGGCAGGGGAGGGACACAGATGCTACCACCCAGTGGGGATGCTGGGGCGGAAGGCTCACCTGGGCCTTGGGCCAGGAACAGCAACTGCACAGCCCTTGCAGAACCAGCTCCCCTTCCTCACTCTCCTGATCGCCAGTGAATTCCACTTGCTGTCTGGCCACCTTGTCTCCTGCTTTAATTCAAATGAAGGGCTTCTTGCCCAGCCTCCCTACCAGTGGCAGCAGCCATGGGACTCTTACATAGGCAGAGAGGAACCTGAGTGTGGCTACATTAACCACACCTCGGATGATAAACTAGAAGCAAAGATCCTCCCAGAGAGGTCCCTGGACAAACTTACTTCCTCCCTGCCCCACTCCTACCCTGCCTTGCATAGTCGTACCTTCCTCTCCCAAGCCCTCCGCCTCCCCCACACCTGTACGGGGCCAGGGGGTAGCCTCCTTATAGTTGCTTTCAAATTAGAGCTGGAAAGAAACCTGAGTTTAACCTAGAGAATCCAAGACTTGAGGGGCTGGGTGAATTGGGGTTGATGGATCAGTGGAGCTGATGTGCGGTCGGCTACTCTGTCTGCACACACACTGCCCTCTCCCACAGCCCCTCCAGGGTCCTCTCCTGGATGGGTGAGCCTCTCCCCTGCCCATGAGTGTGTACGACAAGGTTGGCACTAGGGTTGAACAGGAATTGGCTCCAGAGGTTGCCATCAGATGTCCTAGAGACACTGGCAAAATCCACAATTACAATAGCATTTATTGAGCACTTACTGTGTACTAGGCAACGTTCTAAGCACTTTACCTGTATTCACACCTATCAGCCTCATGATATCCCTAGAAGGCAGAGACTATTATCACCTCCACATTGAACACATGATGAAAGGAAGGCTCCGAAAGTTCATACTTCTTGCCTCACATCTCACAGCTGGTGAAACGCAGCATTGGGATTTGAGCCCAAGTAGCCTGGCTCAAAGGCCTGTGCTCTTTGTCCCTGTGTCCATAGCATTTCTCCAAGGAGCCAGCTACCATCCAGGAACTCCTTGGGGGAAGAGTGAAGCCGCATCCCCAGCCTAGAATAGTCCTGGTACATCATAGTTGCTTAAATAATACATGTCGAGTGGATGCTGTTGTTGGATTAAAGGATGGAATGAAAAGACGGCAGGAAGCAAGTAAAGCAAACACAAGAGACCGTGTTGAGACTAGGAGCCCAGCAGGGAGCACCCCTGAAGGTTCCAGAGCCCAGGGCAGATGAACTTCGGTTCTTCGGTTAGCCTGTTTCCTGGTTAAGCTGCAAACCGTCTTAAAAAGCGCCCCCTGATAGAGAGGAGCACTCGAGGGAGAGAGTGCATCCCCATCCAAAGATGGCAACAGTGGGGCGCCGGTCTCCCAGGGGGCTTCGGATCCCTTGCCCCCTACTCTGTAGCCTGGGAGACGCGTGGCTGGGGGCAGCCCGTCATTCCAAAGGAAATTTCACTTGAAGAGTTCTCAGGGAGCGGCAAACATCACCAACAGCGTCTCCCGTGTTGTCCTCCCTCTGTCTTGGAAGATAAAAATTAATTAGGAGATGAAAAAGGAGGCCTTTGAAAGCGCTGTTTGGCTGTAAAAATATGTAGGCAAAAATGTAAAGGAGGATGTGGGGAAAGCATGTTCTCGGCAGGGAGGGTTGGGGAGCTTTGAAGACAGAGGGTGTCAGAAGGCAGCTTCTCCAAGGATTTAGCCCTCTTTGCGGTAGGAGAGACATATCACATGTGGGAAAGACTGTGTGTAAGCCACTGCTGCTTAGGAAAGCGATAGAGCTGGGGACAAAGACTTCCAGGCTCCCAGGGCTCACTTGGGGCATAGCGTTGCCCCATCCTAGCAACTCAGTCTGGAAGGTACCTGGAGAGGCCATCCAGTCCAACTCCCACCTTCCAGCAGCTCAATAGACTCTGCCCCGGGCTGGAAGTCTCAGGAGGGTGCTCCCGAGCTCAGCCTCTAATTCCTCCTGAGCTGACTGCTGGCCTCTCTGATAGCACTGAGCAGAAGCAGAAGGACAGAAATGCAGTGACCAGGCAGAATTTGGTGTGGTGCGGCCTGGTACAGTCAACTCACATCAGTCTTAAAGTCAGACAGACCAGGACTTGAGTCTTGGCTGTTGTCTCTGCTGGGTGACCATGGGGAAGCCACTTTATTCCTCTGAGCCTCAGTCTGCTCACCTGGATGACATGGATTCTGAGTCCCACTGTGCCGCAATTAGCAAGGAGATTCAATGAACTACCGTATAGACAGTGGTTAGACCAGGGCCAGGCACACAGAGGCAAAGGCTTTCTTCTCTGATGTCCCTACATATGGCTGACCCAGAAGATGGGCAAACTGGCTGGCTCCTTTTCTCCTTTCTTCCTGGAGTCCCCTCCTGAGGCAAACAGGAGCCCCGTGGAGAAGCCACAGCCAGTAGACACCTGGAGAACCTCTCATCTTCCAGGTCCCTCCAGATTAGGTCCAGGAGCAATGTGGAAGATACTGGTGCCTCTGTCACAGGATGGCTGTCTACCTCTGCACAGAGCCGAGCACTTCAGGGGAGCCCAGAGGCCCT